TGGGTGAGTGGGTGCTGAATGGGCTGTCATGTCTATGACAAGAAATTGACATCCTTGACTCGGATCCATTAAATACCCACAACATCCCTCCAGTCGCGGTAAGAGGAAGCATCCCAACAAATTCCAAAGGCTCTCAGGACAGGCCTGTCTTGCTGTGAGCCACTGATCTAGATATTTCTGCTGCCAATGAACCTCATCAATGAAACTGCTAAAGTACAAATTTCCTCCAGTGCACTGGACTAAAACAGTGAAGTCTCTGTAAATCAACCTGCTGCCTACTTTGCCAAGCTGGCATGAGAGCTGTTTTATGAAACTTTTATTCTGTAGATCTGGCCCAAGCTAATTGCTTTGCTACCTGAAAGAGACTCTCCTCCAGCTCTTATTCCTATAAAGTTTTCTCTCTCCTAATGTGTTCTGATCCAAAGTGACCCAATCTCTGCCTGGGGACTTCAGGTTGGCCTGATTGTGGCCCTCACTAGTGAGGACACTGGTCCAGCACTAGCCTCCAGGCTGCCCTGCCACCACCCCGGCATTCCTCAGGATATTCTCCCAGGAGTTTGCTTTTTCAGTTTTCCTCCCCTTCCACATTGGCTGAATTGCCTCCAGCACCACTGCACGGTGGACATGGACGCCACATGTTCACCTGAGCCTGCTAGCCAGCTCATGGCACGATAGGTCTACCTGGGGCTCCACCCTTGCTGTAGCTCCAGATGCTTGCCTTTCAGTGAAGGAGCTCAGGCTTGTCCTTGTCCCAGGGCTCCAGCTCCCCTAAGGGTAAACATGACCCCTAGGGACACTACTACGCATGTGCAGTTTCTTCCTAAGGGACTGGGATACCAGTCTGAGGGTCTGCCTCCATCACTTGGCAAGGGTGGCCTCTTACAATGGGATGTGTTCTGATCTAGAACTGCTGGGCCACGGGGTATACTTTTTTCCACACTGACACTGATGTGGCAGCCTCCACTCGCCACCTCACTCATCTTGACACCAGCCTCCCCTGTCACTGTGCAGAGCAAGATCTGACTCCTCCCCTCAGTGCAATAAGACAGCACAAGGTGTTTCAAACATCTGTGGCAAAAGGGAATTAGAAGATAAGTTCATATTGCTGCAAACTGTTTTCGAAATCCATGCATAGCTTTTTCTATCCCATGCATTTTTGATGAGCTTTTTGAAGAACCCTTGTACCTCTACTGACATCGGTCCTTTTAATCAAATAACCAGCACAAGTTCTTGATGCAGCACTTGACAAAAGCAGGAAGACAAGAGTAAAGCCATGCCTGAAGCCTGCTTCGAGCCATCAGTTCTGTTTGCTCTGATGGACTAAGGCCACTCACTCAGCAGCAGGTGCCAGCCGGTTCCAAATCACGTTTTGAAATGCTTACTTGTGGACCCTCGAGTTAAGCTTCTGGAGCTTCAGCGATCGACAAGACCAAAAGAGCATATGACCCATCGGAGGGGTCAGGCAGACAGAGCAGTGTTCTGTAACTTGGGAGCGGAAGGGAGATGACGCAGGTGGGAATGTGACAAATTTCCAGATGGAGGCATTTGCACCAGGACTTGAAGTAGAACACGATTTTAATAACCCCTGAAGAGGGAAAGGGCACTGCTGACCCAGAGAAGAAAAGTGCAGTTTGTCACTTAAAGGCTGGAAATGTGTAGCAGGCTCGGCTGGTGGCAAGAGACGCAGGGCGGGAGTGGCGTGGGATAACACGTGTCTGAGCTGGCAGGGGATGGAAGTGGAACTGGACCACAGAATGCCTGATAGCCCGGCTATCAAGTGGAGTGGAGTGGAGTGGAGTGGAGTGGAGTGGCGTGGAGAGGAGTGGGGTGGGGTGGGGTGGGGTGGAGACCCTGCTCTGGCGTTCTGATGGTCTAGGGGGAGTTGAGAGGGGCTTATGTTTATGGACGATTGCCTCGGGAGAGGTGGGAAGGCTGCTGGCGGGCTCTGGCCGGGCTGCTAGGAGCAAAAGCCTGCACATGCTTGTGCATTGCCTCGCTCGGTGCTGATGGAGGATGGACGATGCCTTTCTTCCTTTCCTTGTCACGCAGAAAGCGTTACCTGGCCACCTGGAGCCTCCTCAGTCTCACTGGGACCCGGCCACCCTGGGGGCATCACCCTGTCCCTGTGTTCTCTTTGGGGAGCAGCCGTGATAGAATCTCATCGAACTGGTGAATAGACTGTAGACGGCTCCCAGGCAGGTGGATGGCTCAGTTCTCCTAAGCCAAGGCTACAGTTGACGTCTTTCCCTCTGAAGCACGCACTGAAGAGAAAGGCTGGGAGGATTGATTTTTTTTCCTCCAAAGAATCCATAAATATTTACATAAGTGCAAGTTACAAATCTGTGGCTTTGAGATTATCGGATTTCACTGCTTTTACACTCACAGCATATAAATTTCCAGCAGGCACTTCCTGGTGGTGAATGTTCAGTCTGTGGAGAATTGTCTATTAGGCTGGTTCTTTTGCTGATGGAAAAAAAAAATCTCTCCTGTGCTGTTTTGAATGCTCTCACTTACCACGGTAGGATGGCCGTTAGCGGCCATGTGACCGAGGGGGCTCAACTTGTGGGGAACTGCCTGCTACTGGGGGGCAAGGGGCTGCTCTGAAAGGCACTTTTGGCAATGTAAGAATTCTGCCTTGAAGGGAGCCTCACATGGCTTTGTGTAGAGTTCTTTGCTACATGGAAGAAACCTCTTTAAAGATCATTTCTTTTTAGCAGGGGGCAGGTAAGCAGGGCTAACTATGGGTGTTGCAGGTGCAGTGTTGCTCATGGATGGCTCTCGCCTGTCTTACTCTCTCTCTTTTTTTTATAAATGTATTTATTTGAAAGTCAGGGGTACACAGAGAGCAAAGGAGAGGCAGAGAGAGAGAGAGAGAGAGAAAGAGAAGAGAGGTCCTCCATCTGCTGGTTCACTCCCCAGATGGCCACAACAGCCCGAGCTGTGCTGATCCAAAGCCAGGAGCCAGGAGCTTCTTCAGGGTCTCCCATGCCCATGCAGGGGGCTAAGGACTTGGGCCATCTTCCAATGCTTTCCCAGGCCATAGCAGAGAGCTGGATGGGAAGTGGAGCAAGCCAGGACTAGAACCAGCATCCATATGGGATGCCAGCACTCCAGGCCAGGGCGTTAACCCACTGCGCCACAGAGCCAGCCCCTCTTATTGTTATTCTTGCCCCTGCCAGTCTTATTCTTGCCCATCTTTACACACATGTGCTGGGTCCTCTCCTTGTTTGGCCACAGAAAGAACAACTTGCAGCTTTCACTGTGCTTCTGGATTTTACTATGGCTAGGTTTGTGGACTGCCCACCAAGCTTAGAGACCTAAGTCTGCATATGCTAAGCAGAAAATCGTCTGGTTGAGGCGAGGGGCAAGGGCCTCCCCCTGTCCCCCGCGTGCCAGGTCAGTGGACTCACACGTATTTGTGTGTCTAGGGAGTAGTTGACCTGAAGGTGGCTCTTAGCTGTCTCCTGCCAAAATTGTTTGAATGTGTGCTTTTTACTTTGAGAAGAGGCCACACAATAGGTAAACAAAATGAATTAAAACTTCCAGACAGGGCCCAGTGCCAGGGATCGGGTTTTTAATGTGGATGTGCTTGAGTATGTCAGATACATGCCAAGAAGCTTAGGTTTGTAGAAGACTGGTTTTCAGACAGCAAAACAAAGGGGTCGCTTCTGTCTTGTCCCGAGTCCCAGCTGGGTATGGCCTGGTCACTCACAAAGGTGGGATGGTGGTGGGAGGGTCCCCAGCCAGGTTTGCCCTCTGCCTCAGAAACAGAGTGATGACTGCTGTTAGCGCTGCTGAGATTTGCAATGGGCACCACGAGGAGGGCATGAGTTTCCCCTAAGGCTTCTGCTGTAGGCCTCTACTTTGGTTCCTATTCCTGAGTATCTGCTACAGCAGAAGCCTAGAGTTGGAGACAAGTTGGGTTGGCAGGGAAGGCTTGAGGCTGTCTTATTTATTTTCTATCACTCCAGTGTCTTCCAAGATGCCTGGCAATGGAGACCTCCCTATGTAAATATTTGCTCCATCAGTGAATTAGGAGGTGAACCATGCAGGGTGGTGAGAAGATCTAAATGTACTTGGATATGATTACATCATTGTGATTCCAAACGTGCCTCGGGACATTGCCAAAAGGAGATGGTGGGAACTGGGGTCTGGCTTCGTGGATGGCCATGTGCATGAAACGGTGGTGCTTGGGAAACATAAGTTGCTAGGGAGGTGGAAGCAATGCCTTTTCACTACTTACATGAAGCTGGATAAGCTGGTGTAAGGTTTGTTTTATGTGGACAGGGAGCGGGGAGTGGTCCAGCAACGTAAGAGCTGAGTTAGGATACCTGCATCCCCCATTGGAATGCCTGTGTTCCATCATTAACTATGGTCCCGATGCCAGCTTCCTGCTACTGAGCACCCTGGGAGGCAGAGGTGATGGCTCAAATAATTGGGCTCTTGCCACCCATGAGGGAGACTGGGATTGTGTTCCTCGTACCTAGGTCTGGCCCTGGCCCAGCCCTGGCTGTCGCAGGCATCTGGGGACCTCTTTCTGTCTGTGTATCCATCTCTTTGCCTCTCTGATAAATGAGTAAGTGAATAAATAAATAGTTAAATTTTATAGGGCATTTTAAAAATTGACCTTTCAGTATTATTGAGGTTGTATGAGGGGGCTTCAAAAGTTAGTGGAAAAATGGAATACAAAGAAATGCACATTTTCTACCAACTTCTTGAATACGGCTCATGTGATTTGAATACAGGCAGGCAGGGAAAGAGGGTATCAAGAGAAAGACCCTGAAGTTACTCTCTTGGCTGTGCCAGTACGAAACAACATTGGATACAGTTTCAGACAGACCTGGGTTTCAGTGCCAACTTTGCCCACCTCTCCCTTGTGTGATCCTGGTGCGTGACTTCACCTCTCTGAGCTGGACTTGGGTCACCAGCGAGGTATGAGTGTGATTGCATCCTTGGAAAGCATGCTGTGGGAATTAAGTGTGTGAACATAGATTAAGTACCTCGGTGGTGCCTGAGACGCAGCGGCTGTGGGAATGACAATCCCCAGAGCATCCCAACGGCCAGGAAGAGGAGAGGCAAAGGCTCTGGCCGCTGGCTGCGGGGTGTGCCGGGGCCGGTGGGCCTCGCCTTCGCTGCTCCCCGAGTGATGTGATGCCTGCTGATGTAATGGGCGGGGTCGCTGGTGCGCCGATCTGATGACAGGACACCCACACCCTGTCACTCTCCCTGCCAAGATGGACCGTAGCTGGCGGAGCCTCCACGCCACGCCTCGCTCCCTTCCACATTAACGCCCCGTGGAGCTGGGCTCTCGCCTCGTCCTCTGGGAACGGTCGCTGCGAGGGCCTCGTGGCGGTCACGTTCTTAGGGCAAGAGGCCCTGGCGCTCAGCCGCCTCTGCACGCCCCACCCTCTCACCCTCCGCCAATTCTCCAGTTCTCCTGTTTTCACCGTCATGGCGTGAGTGACATGCTGGCCAATTTTCCTCTGGGTGGGAGGGGAGGGAGAACACTGAATAAAGAATTGGGTGAAGGGGGCGTCTGTCCCATTGCCAGAGCCCCCCGGGAAATTGAGGCCATTTGCTGGATCAGACTCCCACAGCACTACTGAAGACAGGGCCCACGGCGCTGCTTGAGGTTCTGGAATCAGCATCACAGCTTGCGTTGAATCCTCCCTCCCATGCCCCCTTCTCTTCTCCCTCTGTATTCCTGGTGGAAGACAGTACAGTTTAAACCCCCAGTGCCACAGCGCTTTCCCAGCTTCATTAAGTTAATGCAGAGGAAATGCATGGCATTGTGCAGGAATAGCAGAGACAGAAAGAAACAAAGAATAAAAGAGAGATGGTGAAAAAGAAACCACTTAGGGATATTTGCATGCCTACCACATCTCATTGCTTCGAATGTGCTGGTTTATTTGACTATCTTAGCAAGCCACTGAGGTGCGTGCTGGTGCTGTTATTCCTCCTGACAGGAGGACGCCAAGGCACGGGTAGCGGGGCGTGTGCACACAGCCACGTTCCTGGTAAACGCACGACTGGAACTGGAAGCCCCGGGTCTGACTCCAGGCCTGCAGTTTTGGCTCAGAGATGTGATGGTTTCCTTGCGAAGGTTATCAGAAGGTTAAGGTCAAAGCTGGGAGGAGCCGCAAGAGGGTCTCCTGACTCCTTTCTCAGGTGGGGCACCCATCATGGAGACGGGGACGGCTGGGATGATTTCTAAAGGACACAGGAACTGGCAGTAAAGTAGACAGGGGCCTTCAGGGAACCAGCACCCAGCAGAAGCATGTCAGAGTTCACGCTGATCCCGAGAGGGCAAGGAAGGAACCAATGTGTCCGGTGGTGAATTTCAGAAACATCTCCGTGGCAGCCCTGGTGGCTGCGTGGCAGGGCTGGGGACAGGGTGGGTGATCCGTGAGAATGAAAGCACTGGAGCCCACCAGACTCTACTCCCAGGACTGGGGGACAAGTGACTCAGCCTCTTTGAGCCTTCATTTCTTCATTTGTAAAAACAAAGAAGGATAACACCCACCTAGCAGGGTTGTAGGATGAAATAAACGCTGTTTCACACAGCAAGGCTTCATAAAGCCAGTTGTTCCTACCGGGAGCTGTTCCAGGGTGCAGCACGACTTAAGGGTGATGGTGATTTGATCTGGGAGAGTGGCTTTGGGAGTAGAGAAAAGGGACAAGTTGAAGAGAAATAGGATTGAGAGCATCTGACATTAATCAGATGCGAGGGATGAGAGAGGACAAAGAGGACAGTGAGGGGGGAGTGGTAGAAAAAGAGGAATAGTGGAAGGATTGGAGGAGAGGGTATCCAAGAGATCCAGATGCCTCAAAAATACTCAGCATTAAAAAAAAGTACTCACAGGAGAAGGTATGCCAAAGAAATGCACACCAGACCCAGGGGTTGATGGGAGAAAGATCCACGTAGTCACTCAACAAATGCTTGTGGAGCACCTCTGACAGTCAACACCCATCAACAAAATGAGATCATGTGTTGTCTGCATTTTTGTGGGTATTTGTTCTAACATTTGTTCTTCAATGTTCATACTCTGAGTTGAGGGTAGAAAATAGGTGATATTTATTTTCTTCCGTAAAAGCCTGTTGGTAGTCATAGTTTTCCATGAACTCATCATGACCAGAGTCTAGAAATTAGGGTGTGTTTTTCGAGTAATGAAATCTGTATATTTGATGTAAACTGGTGGCTGGTGTACATGAGGCCATACCCCCAGAATTTTCTGTGACAATGCCACTGTCCTGTCTTTGAAACCCTTTCCCTTCTGATGACTGGAAAAATGGCTTCCTGAATGCAATTGTGTAGACTTCTTCATTTAAATAAATTGAAACACAGAAAATCTTGTGTCTCAATGTGTCCTGATTTTGTTTCAGAAGATGTGGACTTTAGAGAACTTAGCTTGTAAATTCGTTGCTGTTTTTCAAACAGAAAAACTGGGATAAAGTGTAGTGAACCACTTGCAGGTGTATGTAATCAGCTTTATTGAGACACATGCTTCTGATTTGCATTTCCCTAATGGCTGGTGATGTTGAGCATCTTTTCAAGTGCTTGTTGAACATTTGTATATCTCTTTTTAAGAGAAATGTCTGGGGCTGGCACCGTGACTCACTTGGCTAATCCTCTGCCTGCGGCACCGGCATCCCATATGGGCACCGGGTTCTAGTCCCGGCTGCTCCTCTTCCAGTCCAGCTCTCTGTTGTGGCCCGGGAGGGCAGTGGAGGATGGCCCACGTGCTTGGGCCCCTGTACCCGCATGGGAGACCAGGAAGAGGCACCTGGCTCCTGGCTTTGGATCGGCACAGCGCCGGCCGTGGCAGCCATTTGAGGAGTAAACCAGCGGAAGGGAAACCTTTCTCTCCTTCTCTCTCACACTGTCTGTAACTCTACCTGCCAAATAAATAAATAATATTTAAAAAAAAAAAAAAAAGACAGAGAGAGAAATGTCTGATTAAATCATTTGTCTCTTGAAAAACTGGTTTCTTTCTATTGTTGAGTTGTAAGAGTTCTTTATGTATTCTGGATGCTACACCTGCATCCTGTATATGCTTTGTAAGTATTGTCTCCCATGCTGTGTGTTGTCTTTCCACTTTCTGTTTCTTGTTTAAATTTTGCCTTCCCTTCCTTCCTTCCTTCCTTCCTTCCTTCCTTCCTTCCTTCCTTCCTTCCTTCCTTCCTTCCTTCCTTCTTTTATTTATTTGAAAGGCAGAGCCAGATAGACCAAGACCTTCCATCTGCTGGTTCACTCCCCAAATGTCTGCAACAGCTGGGGCTGAGCTAGGCTGAAGTCAGGAACCCTGAACGCAATCCAGGTTTCCAATATGGCTGGCAGGGACCCAACTCCGTGAGCCATCAACTGCTGCCTTCCGGGGTGTGCTTTAGCAGGAAGCTGGGACAGAAAGCAGAGCTGAAACTGGAAGCCGGGCAGTCCGCTATGGAATATGGGTGTCCCAAACAGCATTTTCACCACTGTACCAAATGCCCACTCCATTATTTCAGTTTCTTGGTTGTGTTCCTTGAAGCACATTTTCATTTTGATGAAGTACAATTTATATTTTTGGCCGTTGTTGTTGCTGGTCCTTTTAGTGTCTTGTCTAAGAATTTATTGCCCAATCCCAGGTCACAAAGATTTGTGCCTTTGATATCTTCTAAGAATATTATAGTTTTGCCTCTTATATTTAGTTCCATGATCGATTTTGACTTAATTTTTGTATATGGTTTGAAGTACGAGTTCAACTTCATTCTTTTACATGTGGTTATCCTGATATCAAGCACCATTTGTTGAAAAGATTATTTTTTTCCTCCACTAAATAGTCTTGACATCCTTCATGAAAAATCAATTGATATACATGTAAGAGTTTATTTCTGGACTTTCAATTATAATCCATTGATTTAAATGTCCATCTTTATGCCCGTGTTGCATGTCCTGATTACTACTGCTTTGTAGTAAATTTTAGAATCAGAATGTGTAGCTCCTCCAACTTTGTTCTTTCTCAACATCATTTTGGCTATTCTGGGTCTCTTGAATTTGGGGATTATGAATTTTAAATTTAGCTTACCAATTTCTATAGCAGTAGACAGTTAGGATTTCAATTGGGATTGCACAGAATCTGTAAGATCAACTGGGGAACATTGCCATATAATGATATGAATCCTTTCAAATCATGAATGTATTGAAATATATTTAGGTATTTTTAATTCCTTTTAATGTTGTCTTCAGTGTACAACTCATAACCTTTCCTGTTAAATTTCTTCCTAAGTATTTTATTTTTTTGATGCTTACTGTGATGAATTTTTTAAAATTCTATTTTCTGATTACTCATTGCTCTTGTATAGAAATACAATTGAGTTTTGTATATTAACTTGTATCTTATAAGGTTGGGAAACACATTTGTTAGTTCTAATAGTTTCTTTTTAAAATTGGTGGGGTTCTCAGTATTTTCTATATAGATGATTCTCTCTTTTGTGAACAGAGATAGTTTTACGTGATCTTTTTCAATTTTGATACCTTTTATTTCTTTTTCTTGCCTAATTGCCCTAGCTAGGACCTCCAATGAAATGTAAGTAGTGAGAGCTTCATTTCTCTTGTTCCTGATCTTAGGGGTAAAACATTCAGTGTTTCACCGGTAAAAACTATGTAAGCTGTAGAGGGTTTTTTTTCCCCCATCAGATGGAGGAAATTCCTTTATATCCCCACTTTTTGAACGTTTTTATCATGAAGGGCTGTTGGATTTTGTCAGTGCTTTTTCTGTGTCTATGGAGAAAGTGGTGTGGTTTTGTGCTTTATTCTGTAAATATGGTACATTTTACCAATGGATTTTCAGATATTACACCAACTTCGTCCTCCTAGGATAAATCACACTTGGTTTTGGTAAATAATCTTTTTCGTATGTTGCTGAATTTAGTTTGCTAGTGTTTGGTTGAAGATTTTTGCATGGATATTCATAAAGAATATGAAGGTACTTCAAAAACTTCATTGGTACAAGAGAAATTGAAACCTGTGCATATTTAAGGCACCTTCAAAAAAGTTCATGACAATTTTTATGATGAAAAAAGCTGCATGGATTTCAGGGTTTTTTGTACCCAGATAAATTTATCTTTTAATTTCATTTTTCTATGAATTTTTAGAGGCAACCCTGTGTTGGCTTGTAGTTTTTTTTTTTTTAAGATTTATTTATTTTATTTGAAAATCAGAGTTACACACAGAGAGGGAGAGGCAGAGAGAGAGAAAGTCTTCCATCTGCTGGTTCAGTCCCCAGTTGGCCACAATGGCCGGAGCTGCGCCCATCCAAAGCCAGGA